TATCCAAAATAGATATGGAGCGACAATGCGACCAATTTTGCAGGTGCAGAGAAGGAAATTCGACAGTCTCTTTTGATTGGAATCAAGTTGAATTAAACGAACGCCTGAAGAAGGAGGAGATCAGCTGTTATCTGTGTCTTAGAATGGAGTGGAAATTTAAACCCCGACGGCTACTCATATGAGCGGAATTTGGGAAAGGCTCATCAAAAGTGTTCGCAAGACGATGACGGAAGTCCTTGGAGATACAAACGCGTTTGTTGGCTTGGAAACTCAATGCACAGTGTTCGCTGAAGTTGTCACTATTCTAAACAGCCGTCCTCTTACACCAATCAGCGACGATCCAAATGACTGTGAACCTCTTACTCCGAGTCATTTTCTGCTACAACGGCAAAATCTTGCTTTACCCATTGAATGTTTTAAACGCGTGGATCTTTACAGATGGAAGCAATGGAGAAGAGCGCAATTTCTGACTGACTGTTTTTTGGAAAAGATGGATAGAGAGTACATCCCAACTCTGCAACAACGCCAGAAGTGGATACGCGAGAAAGACAATTTAAAGATCGGAGATGTAGTCCTTGTTGTGGATAACAACTCCCCGCCAAGACGATGGCTCCTTGGCCGTGTTATTAAGAATTTTCCAGGACAAGACGGCAAAGTCCGTGTGGCAGGGATTAAGGCGCCGAACTCTACTCTAACTAGGCCAATTTTTAAGCTATGTTTGTTGGAGGAAGCTGTTTAAAACTGAGTTTATCGAAACTCGATAGTTTTAGAGACTGATTCCAATGACACGGTTCTAATTGGCCGACACTTAGTTTAAATTTTCGTCGTATTTACTTTGCTGAATCAGTTAAATTCAGCCAAGCCCCCGCCGCCAGGGATGTTGGGGCAAATTTTTCCTTTTGTTTTCGTTTTCTTACACTTACTTGTTATCGTGTATTCTTTTTCTTTTCGCTGTCCGTATTTTGTTAATAAGGCTCCTTTGTTACGTGCTGTATGTAAATTTGGTTATATAGTTTGTTATCTCGCCCCTTTTTTTTTTACCAGAGTCTATCAGTGTAACAGCGTTCGTGGCAGTAGATATTTTTTCTCGGTTTCCTTAACCACCAATTCTTATTATCCTCAGCGTTTGGTAAGCGCCTTCGTTTTCATCGTTTTCTTTAATTTCTTTTTGCAGTGGCCTTTAGATAGTTTTTCTGTATTGTAACTATTATTTTTTCGCTCTTTGTAGGAATTTACTTTTTTTTGGTACGTTAATAGTAAAACATTTGCTGAGACATCGTGATCGTGTTGTGTTTCCTCGAATTGGCCCTTGCCTGTTCAGTTAGTAAGTAGTGTTATTACTTCGGCGGAGCGCGAAGTAAAGGATTAGCGACGGTCAGGAATATTTCAAAGTTGCATCCGGAGGTTCCGAAGTGGCTTCGGAATTAGTTTGAGATATCTTCGAGTTCTTTGATTCATTCTTTCAGGGGGAAGAAATAATTATGAGGAAGAAATAATTATTACTTCTAGAAGAAATAAAGAAGAAATAATTATTATTTCTGGCTTGCCCGGGGTTTGAACCGGCTTACGTGTGACCCGTCAAATCAGATGAGACTTTAAAATTGAGGGATTAGCCAATTGCGCCACTGCGACGCAAGGTAATTTGAGATGTGAAAAATAGCCAAAAGGTACGCACGAGGAACGGGAAAAGACTCGGCACGCAAGTTTGTTACTTTCCGGCTTGTTTTGCGTATTGGACGTAGTGACACCGGAACGAGTTGGAGATATCGAGAGATCACTTCTAGTTCTTCCGGCTACAACAGATATTTGCGGCGGAACGCAAAGTATTACAGGATTTGCGGCGCTGAAGAATGCGGCAACTTGCATTTTGTTTCCGAAGTGAGGCCGGAAGTTGTTCGAGATATCTCGATATCTCGAGATCAGCTCGAGCTGATTAGTTTATCTAAGGAAGAAAGTTAATACTATTTTTTGGTCGCCCTTCCTTTTCTAGTTACTTATCTTTGCCCAGTTGAATCGCGGAGAAGAGATTGTAGTAGAAAAGTAAAAGGTGGTTGATTTGTGGCTTTAATTTTTTTGTTTAATTTGGGGGAGCAGGAAGTTTTGCTGCAGAACTCTGAACGGTCGGCGTGCGACCTTCAGTTATTTTGGGCTTATAGGAAACTGATTGAAACGAAGAACGGAAAACGAAGTTACGGTCGTTTCGTAAACGTTGTGATAGGCGTCATTATCATTTCTCTTCTTTTAGTTTTTTGTGGAAAAGTAGGTGTTTTTATACTTGTTTTTGTACAGCGTGTTGTTGTTTTCCGTGTAATAATTTTTACTGCGATGTTGTACATGAATTATCGTCGGTGTGGAGATTGTGCATTTTCAGCAAGTTTTGTAAGGGAGTGTACTGATGTTAGCTACTTTGCTGAAGAGGGTGTGGAGTTAAATGTACTTAAGGAAAGTGTTGTTGTAGAGGAAATAAAGGAAGTGCAACTAAGATCTCGTCGTGTGCAATTTATTTATGAAAGAAATTATAATCTGATTGGGTTACAGCCACGCGGTCATACACCTAACAGACTTCCGGAGAAGAAGTTAAGACGTCTGCTACACAAAAGGAGAAAGGTGAGGGTATTTGTTTGGAACGGTATCCTGAACAATATCATTTCTTACTATTCCTGCGCATTCACAATTAATCCACAACCGCTCCCAAAGCGTCTTGTTCATTATGTAATAACATCCATGTTAGGGTAAAAACTTTTAAATGTAGGAAAAGAGGTTTGGGATTTACTGAAGGTTGTGACCTCTTAAACAGGGCGCGTATTGATAGCAATTCCCGCTAAATCAATGTTTCGAGGTTTTGCTTCCTTACTAGGTAGTATAATGAAGGTACTGTTGGCCGTTCATCTTTATGATATTGTCTGGCAGACCGAAGTGTTTGTTTCGTTTCCTTGATCTGTTACCTTGTGTACTATTTCACTAAGATCTATTGCTTTGATACCTTTTGCTGAGAAGTTATCCAAGCCCTTTAGAGATGTGCGCACTGACGCATAGCATACTTCTAGTACTCGGGGTTGTGTCCACGTGCTCATCGGAGCAAAAATGGTCTCGGTAAAAAACTGAAAATACTGCTGTGTAATTCGTCCTGATATTAACATCGGTGTGACATTAGGTGTTTTAACCACCTCTCCTGTTAAAAGTTTCAGCATCGCCAAATGCCATGTCTTGCACATTATAAGGACTTGAAATAAAGTCGAGAATGATCAACTTAAGTGAAATCTACCTTCTTACGCCTGATAATATCAGTAGGTACGATCGTACCTATTCCCATGTAATAGCCTATGGTACCGCGTGATGTAAAATCTATAAAGGCATCACCCCAGGAATGTAACGCGTCAGTTTATCTGCAATGATGGACAAAACTTGTCTTCTCGTGCTCCCGTGGATTGCATTTAAATAGCTGTTGGCTAAGCCTTGCAAAATTTCTCTTCCGCTTGTATACTCACAGATGGTAAGTTTTCACCTAATGTGGTAAATAATGTATAACTTTGTCCTGGAGCAATTACTTCAAGAACCTCTCGAACACTTTGTAATTTGCTTTACGGCTGTACCGGCGCAAAGCTATTCGGAATAATGTTAACTCAGGGTAACCTCCTCCTCAAGCTTCACTGTCCTGTTTTACAGAACGAGGGGAGAGTGGGTAGTTGTCTGCGGAGGAGGCTAGGTTAAGGGCCTGTTTATATGAAGTGAGCCGGCCTAGTTAGCTCGGCTTGCCCACTTTATCGGGCTGGCTCGGCTCATGCCAAACTTTTTGCAGTGTCGATATGAGAAGGCAGGCTGAGGAGAACCAGGTTGATAGAGCTCAGTCCAATAAAGCGGGCCGACAAGACTGTTCTGGCTCACCACATGTAAACAGGCCCTGGCATGGGTCTGCTGATTTAAGGACGGCGGAGAGGGAGAGACCCCCTAGTTAAACGTATTATATGACGTGATACTTTATAAACAGTCTTACTCCTTCACGTATTACAAAGGAAGAAGGATTATATTTATCTGAACCAACTGGAATAAATTCACCAGTGGCTTTCAATACGAATTTCGACTCAGCCAAGCTACAATCCCGCTCAGCATTTTTATTGGATTCTTCACTATGTCCAGACTTCCCTATGTGCATACTCGCTTAGACCTTCGCCACCCAATACCCAAGCTTACGCGGTGCAGCGGACAGGTAGTCATGTCGTGGATATTTTTTGGCTTTTGAAAACGGGCACTTCTGCCTAGAATAAGTTCAATTTCTGTTTCGCAAGCACTAAATTAAAGCTGTTTTTTTATGACTCGATATATTCTTGGAGCATGATACTAGTGGTACGATTTTAATTGACGTAGTCTGACTTTGTGTCAGGCGCACTTCCGAAAGGTACACACCATCGTTCAATATAGTGAGTCAGCGTTTACATTTACTTTTAATGATTAGCTGGCCATGAAATTAGTTTTTCGCGAGGAGACTTGTAGACTGTAAAATTCAGAAGACTGGTTGTAATACGATTTTTGTACGGTACTTTCTAACAGTTTCAATATTGCGACCATCGAAAAATCCTGCAAATGAGCAAAGTTCGGGGAGGTCGTATTGAAAAACTGTGAATTATCCCAAAGAAATGAAAAGAAAACTTAGAACATATAACCTTAAATTGTAGAGAAAGCTTACTCTGAGGATTTACTTTGACTTAACAACCGCATTTTTACGCAGGTCTTTTATGTCACTCTCGAGCCATTCAGAAAAAGCAACGAAGTGTCTTCATAGGAAAGCTCTCCTCGAGTCTCTTAAAGCAAATCGTGTGTCTGCTCAAACATTATTTAGTTGACCAAGGGGCAAACTATTTATTCATAGTAAAAAATCATTTATAGGCTTCATCCCACTAACTTGAGAGAGTAACGAATAGAGGGAAATTTCGGTTCATCAAAGAGACCATTTTGATCCAAACAGACCCATTCGATTTTAGTTCCCCTTAAAAACGCAATAATTAGACAAAACTAACCCTGTCTTGTTTACTACGATACAATACTCTATCAGTGTAAAACGTATCAGCGAATTTTGAGCCTGTCCGATTATTATGACATTGACTCTTAAGTGGTTTGCCCATTTGCGTTCTTACCTTCGGTGTTGAAAACGTGTAGAGCGCAGGATTAACAGATGAATTAACTGGCAGGACAAACGCAGCAAACCACACGTAAGCCGTTCCGTCGGGATCATTGAACTTCTTAACGAGGGCAAGAACACTCAAAATTATCACAGGAATCCAGCAACAGAAGTCAGTTAAGATGATGGCGAACACTCTTCGTGCGAGGGCCGACTCTCTGTTGAGGTTTTTATTGATTTTTGATTCTCCATGTGCCTTGAGTCTCCGCTTTGACTTAAATACCTTACACATAATGGCGATGTAGGCTGTCATGATGAAAAGGAAAGCTGTGAGATTCAAAGCGATAAATATGGCAACTGAATACTCCCAGCCGGCCAGCCTTTCTGTGGTCAGTTGGAGAGGGAGACAAACTGACGAACGCCCTTAAAGAAAAAAAATACGAATTACGTATTTTAGTTGGTTTTTAATATCAGATCATGTGACAGGCTAATCCCAATGATAAGGAGAGAGGAAGCGCAAAAAGAAGTAAATAGCGATGATGATGATGCTGTTGATGATGACAATGATGATGATTATGAAGATGGCGATGACAATTTCTTACCCACAAGTCACAGAGCGAAGTTTTCTGTTGCCATGACAATCTTCTGTTAAGCAGTTTGCTACGATGTGCTGAAAATTAACCGAAACTTTGCTCGACGTCACTATACTACGGTAGACTAATCAGGACGTTTTAATCTATTAGATTATAAGAACCCGACTTAAGTGGAAAATTAAATTAGTGGGGGCGAACTGTCACTTGAAAAGTGAATATACCGTAAAATCCATATTGTCGGTCCTCGTTGTAAAAAGATGGGAGATCATATGTTGGAACGACGGCAATGATGGTACCGATGACCCAGACGGCTGCACAAATAACGTAAGTTCCCCTTAGCGTGAATCGGCAACAGCTGAATGTAAAGACGATGCTGATCAATCGATCAGCGGTTATAACAGTCAGCATTAGTACCGAGACTTCGCTCGACAACACTGATAAAGCACCAGCAACTTTACAAAGTGTTCCTGATCGCCAAGTGAGGTCGAAGGTAAAGTAAGCACCTGGAAATAAAGAACTGTTTCAGTATTATGATAACACTCACTTGTCTTTGCACCCTATTGTATGCTTTACCCGGAAAATGTGTTCTAGGTCAAAAAAAAAAAAAAAAAAAAAAAAAAAAAAACCAGTCATGATGTGTATTATAGTAGCTAAGGCCCGGTCAATATGTAAATTTGTTTTAGAGTCTGAAATCAATAATTATACTCGCAAAAGTTCAATTAAACTGACACCTGGTGAAAGTTAGCCTGAGTGCTTCAGACTTCGAGAAAATGACGCCCGCGAAGTTGAGAAAGCGGACACGAAAATAAAACAGGGGCAAACTGCCACCGCTCCCCCTTTTCCCAGATCATGAGCTCATACGTTCGCGTGCCTATCACTGGCCTGGTACAGGCTGGTCGAAGGTATATGTCTTGTGCCAGGCCTGTGTACAAGCTTTAGTTTAATGTGACCTCAAAAGGTAAGATTCAGTGTGATCTCTTCAAATTTAAGACCATTTAAGGGTTGCGTACTGCTTTATTATTTTGATTAGAAATCTCTTACCAACCAAGATCAAACTAGCCAAGCTTATCACAAATGCTGTGTTAATAAAAAAAGAACTTATACAGTGTATTGCGCCCCTAAAAAAACAACAACAACAACAACAAAAAAACAAAACAAAACATACACACAACACTTTATTCGACAGGTGGGTTCATTACCAGAAATATATACAAAAATTAACTTTCTCTCCAAGTAATGTAACTGAAAGGAAACTTGTTACATAGAATGTGTAATACAAACAGTTAGTTGAAAAATAAATACAATGTTTATGGCTCTTTCGGTTTCAGTGGTGATCGAAAACTATACCTGCCCATATTTGGTCTTGAATGGCAACAATCATAAGGTACTCTCCCATGAGAAGGTCGGACGCCGCGAGATTCATCAGAAGACAGTTCTGAATCGGGTGGTCGTCGTGTCTAATTAGACGCCAGGCTATTACAGCCAGGTTACCAAGCACAGCAAGAACACCAAGCAACCAAATGATCTTTCTAGAACCTGAGTTTTCAATCATGCGATTGCAACTTGAAAATGAGTCTCGCGCCGACAATGGGTATTCGCAGTCCACGTGGTTGAGAACCGTTGTAGCATAACAGCACAAGGAGAAGCTGTCTAACTTCCTAAAATCGGAATGAATACAAAACTGTAAAATGTTCATGCAAACGTAATTACAGTCGAATATAGTCTTGCCAATATGGCAAAAACTATGATATACGAGACCAAGGTTCAAGGTCAAAACAACTCTTCCTTTATCGTTACAAAATACTCCGCAAGTTATTAATAACAGTAACAATAATTATTATAAAAGTAAATTATACCAGGTAATTATCATAAAAATCTCCCAGAATCCTTTGACGCAACTTTTTAAAAAGCTTTATAACTTTGACAATTTTATACGTAGAAGACTGTCAAACCACAACCAGATAGCCATTTGCTCTCACAAGATTTACTAACGATTTAAAAACAAATAGCATATTTGAGGTTTAAGTTGTGTGGGGCATTTAAAAATAACCAGTTGGCGTCCTGCATTTAAAATTCAAGGGGGTAGATCGAGGACTGTATAGAGTCAACCTTTTAACACACGGCAGAGAAAATTTGCGGGAAAGTAATGTTCTACGTGACCAAAGAGGGACATGACGTCAGTCACGTGATCAAAGCGTTTTGAATGTTTTAGTTTATTTTTAAAGTACCTTTTTTTTGTAATAATTGGCACGTTTTTGTTGTTTTTCTCAACAATTCTTTACACTGTATTGTCTCTGAGTAATTATTATTCCTTTTTCAAAGCAGAACCAAACGAAAACTGAGCCAGAAGTTTAAAAGTTGCGTAAATTGACCGATATTGTAAGTTGAAATCGAAAAGGAGACCTACTCTTGAAACTTTTGTAAAAGCCTTTTTCAACTTAACTGTTTGTTTGCCGAAATAAATGTTCAACGTTTGTTAATAAAAGAGAACTTTTAAAAACTAATAGGATGTATTTTGCGGCCATATTGTTTTTCTTCGTTCCGGAGAGAAAGGTCATGTAGCAGCTCTTCTAAGACTTCTAACCCTAAAAACCAAATGGTTAGCAACCCTAACCTAAAAAAATGGAAATAATGATGAACAATGTTGAGTTAATGTTTTCCCCGACCTATGAAAAGACACCTTACGAGCAGGGAGAGATCGTACGGTCATACAGTTCAGTCGGTAGCCGCCCGATCGATAGTTCATAAATTTCATAAACGTTCCCCGGTATGGACCAGGTCTGAAAGAGTATTAATGGTTTTATTGTAAGCTTTACGTCTAGCTTCGATCAGTTAAAGATTTAATTCTACACGGAAATTAAAAAAAAAAACGTCATCCTTGAAAACCGTCAGTCACCATAGAGAAGGAATATATACCTCTTTTAAACTCGCATTGTCAGCGTTTACCAAGGTGGTTCAGTGGATAGAGGAGTTAACTTTTAGTTCTAACTGATTCTGAGGGTTCGGTTTTTCAACCTTTTTTTTTCTTTTTTTTTTTAATATCTTTTTCACTCTCTTTTTTACCTATGTGGTGCATATAGCTAGTAACATAATGTGGCAAATTGAATGCAAAGTTTACGGGAATATAAAAAATGCGGTATGTATCATAGCGTATTGTTACGTATTGCGTCGTTTCGTAAGCGTAAGAAGAGATCGAGCTTTAGAAATTCAACAGGCCTTTTATTCTGCCATCGAAAATATACAAAAGTATGTGACCAGCCACTTCAAGAGTGTGATGCAAGTGCACGTGATATGACGTCATACACCACATTTCCCCCTTCTTAGTAACCACTAACTGAGCAACGAGTTTTTATAAACTTGCTGAACTAAATGTTAAGGCTATGATTGATTCGAGACTGACACAGTGAATTAGATTCAAAACTGTCAGGTGAAAAACAACATCGGGGCAGATTTCCTTACCTCGAGAAATACTGCTTAGTGAACTTATCATATAGATATTTACATTGTCTCAATTAATCTGTCCGGCGCCTTGCCTACTCTACTAGATCGGCGCGGTGGAAAGGAACTACAATCCTGGACAAAAGTCCTTGGGACAGTACTGCAATGTGCATATTTTTTTGTCATTTCTCGCTTCCCTCTTAAAACAGTGCATCATTTTCGAAATTTCCTTGCACTTCTCCCTGCCCTCACCCTATACAAAGTTGAAACTCGGAAAAATCCTGGATACACGCGTCCAACATTGTTTGTGGGGTGAGGGGAGGAGTTAACCTGAGATCAGGCGTTATTATTTGTTTTTGGCTTCTTTGGCTCGAGTGGGAAAAAAAATAACGCCTGATACATTTATTTAACAAGCAGTCAACCGCCCTTTAATTTACATAATCTAACGTCTGCTTGACCTGTCATGTTATTAGCCAATAAGCGTTTACCATACGGGAATCAAATTTTGGCGCGGATAATGTCTCTTTTGAAATCAATTTTAGGGAAAAGAAAATTTTTAAATACGTCCATGTTCAGATGGCGCTTCCTAAAAAAGAAATTAATGTGTTGTTTTTGTGATGAAATACTGCTAGCTGGAGCTGCCGTACCTTTATTTAACAGCTACAAATAATAAAGAATTTACTGGTTAAAGCTCGTTGACTTCGTTCTGTGCCGAAAGCAGTGAAAAAAAATTAGGCTGAAGCACCATATTTCACGAACTGAAATTTGTCGTGAAAGCGAAGATCGCTCAGAATAATTGGCAGCTTGATTTCCGAAGGAGGAGTTACAATCAAACCAGGTCAAGATTCCATTCATGAATTGATTATTTGAAAAGTGAACCTGTTTGTCGCTTCTGTAACTTGTAGCCGGTATCCGAATTGCATTCAAATGATCGGTGAAGTTTTGACTGCAACTGTTTTAGTATGCGATGAGATGGAAAATATTTCAGTGGATGAAACTTCTATTTAGCCATTCTTCAAATTCAAGAAAACTGAGTCGACAGAAATTTCATAACGAACTTGCGTGTGTATTCACTGCTCATCACGCAAGCAAAAATGCAGACTGAAATCAACAACAACTAACGGATGGCGGCATTTTGGCCAATCGGAACAGCGCAAATCATCCGTATTGTTTCCTATCCAATCAGAAAAAAGTCCAGATTCTGGATTTTTTACATGTGATCCGACAAAGAAATGTATCATGCCCTCTTCCCGTGAGAGACATAAAGGGAGAGGGCACGATCTCAGGCTAGGGAGGAGTTGGACCTGTGTGAATTGGAAAACGCCCCAGAAACGCAAAAGTGTCCCAAGACTTTTGTCCATGACTGTAGCTTCGGACAAAGAAGTACCCAGAAAAGATGGCGTCTCTACGTCGGGTGTAGGATTATTTAGCTTCTCCAAGCCCACTTGCGTTCCAGGTTTGACGGAATTCAAGATGGGCATGTTTAAGGGAATCGGAGGAGGCGAGGGGTCACCTGGACTGAAGGTGGCTTGTGGAACGGGATCTGGAGCAGCTTCCTGTGGAACTCTTTCAGAATCCCTCTCAGCGACAGCGCTGTCCATGGAATCACTTTTGATATGGTCGAGATGACGCTTCCAAACCCTTCCGTTGTTCAGCACTACTACGTATAAGACTTTGGATCACTTTGCTTAGCAACTGAGCCTGGCCAACACTTGTGTTCCTTCCGGAGGTCTTTTACCCAGATCCTGTCACCAGGGAAGAACTCTCTAAACTTAGCGTGCCGTCGTGTTGCCTTCTGCTTCGATTGTGAATCTATGACCTTAATTTTCCCCCACACTTCGACAAAGAAGCTTCAGTCTAGTGCAAAGTTCGCGTCCAAGGAACAGGCCAGCAGATGTCCTGCCTGTAGAGGAATGTGTTGTTGACCTGTATGCTAACAGAAAATTAGCAATTCGCTGCTGGATGGAAAGCTTCCCGCTTTTACTCGCCTTCATTTGATATTTGAATGATTGAATCATTCTTTCGGCCAATCTGTTACTGGCTGCACGATATGGAGCTACGCGTATATGCTTAACACCATTCATCTTTAAGAAGTGTGCAAACTCCTCGCTGCGAAATTGTGGACCATTGTCACTGACGCAATGCACCGGAAAGTTGTATTTGGAAAAAAGTTCCCGTTAGATAGCAACGGCCGCGGTTGCCATCGGATTCTTTTTTGTTTGCATAAAGTAGATCTCTGGCCAGCGAGAATGTGCATCAACAAGGATGAAGTAATTCCCCTTTTCGTCTTCAGCGTAATCTGTATGGATGTAATGCCACGGGTTACTCGGCCATAACCAAGGAGTTAGTGGTGCTACAGCTGGTGGCTTCTTAACGTGTTGGCAGCTTTTACCATTTCTCACGGTTTTTTAATTTCTCGTCGGTTGTTTAACGGTTTTTGGTTCAGGAAGATGTCCTCTAGGACATATCAAAAGTCCCCGAAAATCCGATTAGGGGAAGTTGACGAAAAACGGTTTTTTTTTAAAGCCCTATAAAGACTAATACTGCGCAACATGGAAACGAGGTTGTATGTGCTGCCTGTTGTGTTGCTTGAGTTTGAGGCCCCGTACAGCATGGGCTAGTGAAGGCTGAGAGAATTTATTGTGTTTTCCTCCTAATTAAGTGCATTTATGTAACGATTAAATAAAAAACTGTTCTGTATAATATTCTTAAATCAGAAAAAAAACCGTAAAACCTGTAGAAATGTCCACGATTGTTAAGCTATCTAGGTGAGGTATTTAGCGAGGAATTATGTTTTTCGCAAGCGAATTTAGAAACTTAAAATGATAATTTCACACCGAAAGTAAGAGTAATGTCATGTTTTAGGGTAATATAATTCAAGAAAAAAAAATATTTGACTTGAGTGTTTTGTGTAGAGACTTGTATCATTCACCTAGGTGTAAAACCTATATTTCACTCATCGCTTCGCGCTTACTTTTTTCGGGAGTCACAAAGCTTAGGTTATTAGTAAATTCATCTATTTTTTCTTCAAAACTTAAAGGAAAATGTCTAGGAATCGTATCAAGTTTTATGAAACTGAGACCATTTTCGCTAAAGCCGAAGGAAATGTTTTCACTGACTTAGGAGGTAATAAATAAGGCGCGCGCCCTGCAAATTTTGCACTTTGCCAAAAGTTCCGGTTCAAGTTGAAAATTACAAAGTCGATGGGAATTCCAATACAGTGAAGGAATTTCTTTTTTAAAAAAACTTCGGGTTTCCATTTTAAAAATAAAATTACCGGATTGAAGATATCCTAAGTATACCAAAAAAAGTTTTTCTTATGAGTCACCCTTCCTCAAATTACGCCGCCACTAGATATCGATACAATACAAACTTTAACTGACACTCCCTAAATGACAATAATAATCACTGACGTTGGAACGAGAGTAAATCCAAAAATTACAATAATTAAATGTTTCATTGAAAAAATTAAGAAAGCTAAAAAGTAAATAACTATTCACTAGAATTACAACTGGAACAGAAACTTTAAAAAAATGCAATTAATTGATATGATGAAAACTACATGTAAGACCGATAATATAGGAAAGCAGAAAATAATTCGGCTCTAAGTTTACGCCTAAAATTACGAGCAGAGTTATAGAGCTTAAGGGAATTATCTAAACTGTTCCACAGACTTACTATACGGTAAAAGAATGTCGTTTTTCCAGATTTAGTTTCAAATAAGGGAATAATATTTAGGTTCAACATCTGATTTAGAAGTCACATTTCACATGTGCCGAATATAATGCATTAATTATAGAAACCCTTATCCATACTGGGTAAAAAAAATTTTCTAGACTGGGAATATATACAACAAACGGAGTCAAACTCGGCACCATCACATCCGACGTCTGAATCAACTGCCGTATTTAATTACTTTCATCGACTTAAATACGAAATTCAACGTTTGAAAGGGGCCTAACATGACATAAGTTTCAGCTTAGTGGTTTGCAGGCCGTTATTTATTTGTTTATTTCTTTTCAGTAAGAGCAATTCGTATCTCTCTTTGTGAATTCATTTTATTAATCGGCTTGTGCCTCGACTTAAGAATCAGATGTAATAGTTGATGTTACTTTCTCTTTAACATGATTTGTATGTCACTGGACATGATTTGTATATCAAAAAGAGCGATCAATTTTCATCCATGCATTTCAATAAAAGCAAATGGAATCACTTCTCACTATAGCAGACAAGCTCGAAGCATTGTATGCGGCAACGAAAAAAGATGAAAACGCTAACCCTTTTTGATCAAATTATTTTAAGGTTTAAACTCGAAGCCTTATATAGTGTAAAATAATTATAATTACTTCTACCGGTGTCACTTGTAATAATAATAATAATAATAATGATAATAATAATAATAATAATAATAATAATAATAATAATAATAATAAAATGCAAAATAAATTTGTCATGTTTGCTAGATCTAATCCCATACAAACTCAACGTCTATCCGAGTTTTTCGGCAAAATTAATCTGTAACGCATCTTTTAAAACAAAAGAAACTTTACGTAATTTTAGATCTATAATATATAGACTTAGCCAGGGCTAAAAGCGAAGCTCCCGTTAATAAATTTATCATTTAAATCAAACAATAAACTTGTAATCCACAAATCAGTTAACTTAAAGACACAGTCATGTGACTTTTGAGGGAAAGGCTAAGTTATTTTAGAGTAAAACATCTTACATCGAGTTGATAGCCTTATATGTACACCCAGAAAATAGCAAACATCTTCGATCACATTCAAGATCACAGTAGATTAGGCCTCGTAAACAAATTGTTGGAAAACAAGTCAGGCCGAATTTTTTTGCGTTCGACAGGTTTACTTTACAAATTCTTGCCAACAAATCTAGGTTTGTGTAAACCAACCTTTTATACTTTTTATACATCATATCTGAGGTGACACAGTACTATTTATCATACAGACCTCGGACAGAATGCAGTATGTCACAATTTTTCAAGACAAATTGCACTCAGTCAATATTCAGGACGATCAATCTTGGGCTCTTAGCGAAACCGTTCAAAAAATTTCCAAAATCACCCATACGGCCAGCCGGTTCTCATTTCTATAATATATAGTGCGAACTGTCAGTGTGTTCGAGTGTTTGAATGATATTTAATAGAGTTACGCTTCAACGTAATAACGAATTTATTATTATTATTATTATTATTATTTTTGTCATTCAACGGTTTCAGTTATAACGATGTGTACTCTTATAAAGTGTTTGATACGCGCGACATTTTTGAGTACTTTTGCAAGCGATGTTTATGAACGATGAAAACAAGCGGCACAAACAAGCGATTAAAATTGCAAGAGAGACTACTAACAATCACTAAAATAAATATCATTCGGTGAAACATCTACAAAGACAACAATTTTCATTTACGAAGACAAGTATTAACGTGTCTCTAAAAATCCTGAGTCCTTAAGCGTAAAGCTTAAGTTTATGTTTTAAGCCGGCTTCCCGGCACGGTGTTTACTGTTTTCAAAGATGAACTCCTCGAAGCGAAAAAAACGCTCAAAGTTTTCTTTCTATAGCCAAATTTATGACTAAATATTCTTCGGAACGTTTTCTTTCTATTTGCGGTGAGAAAATATATCTCATAATTACTCAAGCTTACCATTCGAGATTCAGTTCGTGAAAGCTATCAAGGAAGGCCAAAGTTACTTGAGACTTTTAAACTTTCCTACGCATTAAGTAAGGTGAAAAACGAAAACGATGCCATCCAAAATCGAATTAACGAATTTTGACAAGCGAGACATTTCTCAACCAACAACCCGTTAACCAAACCAACCATGAATAACAGAAGACTCTTGATAGCCGCTGTATTTCATTTTGTACATCCTGAGGAAAAAGACAGTTAAAACATCGCAAGTTGACTCGAAACTCTGTCAGCTTCAGCTGTCAAAGTAAACAACTTTCAAGATGCTACATAAATTTTACGTATGAACTCACTTGTCAAATTTTGACCAATCAGAGCATAAAATTGGACGTAGAGCGTGACTAACGCGTGACCATGGTAAGAAAAGGTCTTCCCTGCCTGTATTATTAAAAAGCTGGCTGAATTTTTGCGTCCGAGGTCAGTTTGCAATCAAAATCCTAATAGTGTGGGTCAGAGTGACATAAACACAACATATTTGATATGAATCATTGGAAAAAATAAACTTGAGCCTGCGATAATTTTAAACTGATAATTTGTCAGCGGATAACTCCAAAAAATACGCGACTCGACTTGACAGTGTTACATTACATTGATGTGCAATTAGTTTTGGGCTCCCAAACTAGCTAAAAAATGAGAGTAAACATTGGTATCCCTGTGGTGCGGACGGACGCTCGGTCGCTCGCTCAGTCGGTGTACGGTCACGTGATTACCAAATTTTCTGGGATAGGCAGATTTACTTAGGTATGGGGCACCGCCCACGCACGGCGCTTCGCTATAACATGCACGGTAGAAGAAACTACTCACAAATTCTTTAGACTCTGGAGGCCATTGAATACCTCTAACGGCAGCGCTTTAAGCAAGTTTTCCTGCAGACACCTACAAAAAATAAATATTTACTTATAAACAAACACTTGCGTGGCAACAATTTATCAGAAGACGTTAAAGGAACAGTATTCCGTTACTGCGGATGCACCAAACTTTGATTTTTGGACCATGTCGCAAAATCAAAAGATGCGAGGAGAGTAATGATATATTGTTCTTGTTGAGTTTCGATTTGGGCGAAATCGGGAATTTTTGGCGTTACTTTTATTGCCGTTGGCCAGAGGACCAAAAGATGGGAAGCGCTTTGATGCCGACTGAAGGCTTATTTCTTCTGCCAGCTTCCATACAAGCTCAGATAATTGTGAAAGAAATACGCAGAAATGAAACAGTAACAATAGACACTGTAAGAAAGACATGGATGTGACTGAGAAGATCTTGTGGAATTAAGCTTCGTGAAGCAGAATGTTTTGCAACGACGCGTTCATTACTAAACTTTTAAATGAACCTACCGAACGGCCGACAAAATCACAAACAGGCGCTTCATGTTTAGAAAAACTAGTGCAATGAAATCATATAATTTTTGACTAACCTTTACGATAATTCATCGCGTTGAGATTGCATTTCTATTTTTTCTTTCAAACGTTTGAGGCTAGAACGCGAGCAAATCAGGCAAATATTACTGGACTTGGAACAATTGACCTCTGACACGAGTTTCACATTAGAAAAGCTGTTTTTAAAGCGAGCGGAACAAGATTTTCGGGTCGAGAGGCGGCCCTATAGCGACAAAATCGCTATGAGTCTTCGTGCCGCGAGCCAAATTTTAAATAAGACAAAAAATCTTCTTGGAAAGTCTAAAGTATTCCTCAGTTGAGAATGTAAACAACAAATCTTCGTTGGCGGTGCGGTCCGGAAGGAAATCTTTTTTTTTTTTTTTTTTTTTTTTAATAACATTTATTCAATCAACAATCAACAATCAAAAATACTTACAAACACTACGATACTTACACGACTTACAATACAATATTTAGAATACAATAGACTAAGGTACTTACTCTGTTTACAATGTAAAGACTTACAATACTCAGTAATTACAACACTACCTACTCACTACTCACACTACAATGCACTATTTACAAGCAGTTCTAATTAGTAATTGTACTTTAAAAAAAAACAACAAATGTAAACAACAAATCTTCGTTGGCGGTGCGGTCCGGAAGGAAATCTTGTCGAATCAATATGACAGCTCTATTGTCTTTTGAAGAAAAAACAGATGCCACTCGCACGTGCCCGCAGTCGGGGCACTGTGCCTTTAAATCACTTGATCTGTCTAACACCACCCAATAAGGCTTACGCTCCCTAATATTCACTGGTCCCCGCCTTTGAAACTCCTTGCCTACAAGTATAACTAATTCAAATTCCCTTAGAATATTTCGTAAAACCCTTAAGAACTCTATCCTCAATTGTTTCTCTAATTCATGATTATCTGACTAGCGCATAAAGAATTACGTTTTGTAAAAAAATATAGATATATTCTTAATTATGTCTGAAATTGTATTTCATTGCAGGGGTCATCCACTAGATTAGCCTTTGCTATTTGGATGATCTCAACTCGCTCTCTATTTTGTTGTCACAATTTTTCTTTTATTCCTTAGTTGTACTGTGTTTAGATGCGTATTTGAATTTAACCTTTATGTTAAGTAAAACTGAGTTGACTTTATAAATCATCGTCTTGTCTTGTCTGTCTTGACTTGTCTTCTTATTTAGTCCTTGAGTTTTTGCAGTGAACCGAAACACTGACGTATTATTTTATGGAGAAAATTCAGCTTCATTTTTTCCAATAGCTGAGGGAATCCTCGCTCGCCGATATTGGTCTAGAGCTATGGTCTATGAGAGTATAGACAATGGAAATAACGTAACATATCTCGCAGTGCCGGTTGTTTTGTTGTTGGTTTTTCGTAAAAAAATAAATGTTATTGTAAAAACCAATAGACCACAATTTTCCATGGTCTACACTCTTATAGACCATAGAAATGACGCCATAATTTGTTCAAAACTTTGCAGTGAAACCACCTCGCCTGCAGCTCGTGGTTCCACTTCAGTTTAATAACGTCATTTCTATGGCCTAAATTGTGGTCTAGTAGTTAAATAATGTCTAGCAATTTCAACAGCCCTTTATGCATGCATATGATTACCTCAGGACGAGTAAATTTCACCACCAAGGCGCGTTTGTGAACTAAAGTTTTTGCATTAGCACTTTTTTCGTGCGTGAGAATTCAATTCAACTATACTGCCTTGGAAATAAATTTTTGTGAAACTTCGCTGATTTTTAATTTCACAGCGAGGCTTAATGGTGAATTTGCTTGTGTGTCGTAAACATGCATAGGAACTCTTTATTTTCATTTTTTATGCATTTGATTATGAGGTCAGCCATTAAAATTACATATATGAATTACATAAGCATCGTCCTGGAGACTCCGTGGGCAAAATGCTTTTTAGGTAATACACGTGTTCATAAGTATCTATCTGTGTAATATTACTAGCCTGCGTAGCAAGGGCTTGAAGGAAGTTCTCTCAGGAAAGAACGGGCGCGCAAGTCTTCCTTTCGCGCCTCATTCTTTCTCGCATATTACTTCGAAGCGCCTGCTACTGACGCAGGCTACAAATTAAATTAACACGCTATTTCTGTGACCTGAATTTTTTCCTAATGGATTGCACTCTCATTGGTTACTTTGGGATCACATGACAACTTAAAATAAAATTGTTTCCCGCCGTCCTTGGCGGGGAACATTGCATCAAAGGGGAAACGTGCAATTTTTCCCGCGAATGTTGGCCTTTTCATGTTGACATTTACCCTTTTAGTGCTTGGTTCCCTAGGGACGGCTTGTTTAAGTTTATTACTGTTTTTAAACTAGGAAATTACCACATTTTCATTCACTATATGTCTCATGAAGCTAAACTGTACTTACAGACTTTCCAGGTTTTGGAGCCCATGAAATATATCAACATGAAGCTGGTTGATCTTGTTATTGTCAAGAGACCTTGTGAAAAATTGTAAAGGGACAATTAAAGAATTCAAAAGCTGGCGTTCTGAGTGCTATCACCTTGTCAGTGCGAATCAAGGAATTGTATGTTCTGCTCGGATATTTCGAACATTGACCATTCAGCGCTTGAAACTACGATACTGGTAGGCTCGTTGCAGGGGCGGATCCAAAAAGTTAAAAAAGGTTAAGGGGGCACTTAGAAGCTATATAGATACCATTTATTTTACTGAGAATTCGTTATACGGAATCTCACAGAAAAATTTCGCAGTCCTCTCGGGCAAAACCTTAAACCGCCCACGCATTAAAATGTAGTTGATGTTAACAGTAAGACACAGTTCTAGACTGCATCACTGTACAGCTGCAAGGGATCACTCACCATTGAGAAAGAAGGTTATGCTGGTAGGAAATGGGAGAATTGTATTTGTTTGCAGACAATATTTTTACGGGTACACGACGTATTTTAGCTGAGAGGAGTGGGCCTTATTTTGATAGGAGATTTTTTGTCTTTCATAGGAAATCATTCCGCAAAAGAATCTTTCTTAAGCAAAGTCGCTACTGTATTGGTTATTCCACTGAAGACAGAAAGCAACGAAATACCACTGACATCTTTAGTGATGATGTTGAACATAACAAAATTAATCGACTTTGAGAAATGTTAACAAACCAAATTAAGCAGCACAATCATGTATTTTCCTCTGTTATTCTAAGTACACCTTTTGCTGTTCATTACGAGAAAATACGCAATCATTTGCGTAAAACCGCGACCAATAGCGCGAAGATACATTCATTAGCGCGAAAAAGCAAACATTTGCGCATAAATCAGATTCAATTACGATTTTTGCATTTTAATCAACATTCAATAACACTTTTGGGCATTCATATGGGTCATTGGGCATACAAAAGAGAAAAATATACTTTCATTAACGCCAACATCAAAGTCATTAACACCATCTTGAAAGTCAATAGGGACAACTGACATACATTAAAGTGCAAGCACTATTCATTAACATTTTTATGACACTGTTTACAATTCAATAGCATTCCTGGACAACCTTAGGATGGATAAGACAAACATAAATGCGCTTGTACAATCAATTGAGTGTTCTTTACATTTAATATGCAAAAAACGATTTTCAATTAAACAATAGAAATTCCCCCCAATATTGGCCCGAATTTCACTCCGTTAAATGTATATCCCTCAAAAACCTCGCTATTCAAACATTTTGGGAGGTAGGTTTGTATGAAATGGTACCCCTTCGCACATTTAGCTGCGGTCACAATGTCATGTTTCTGCGCAGAGCTTCAAGCAATGCAGTTGTTGTTTCCGAACTCCGCTAGCGGGATTGCTAGGACTTTGCCCTCATTCCTGTTATACATCTTTAAATTTCCGGACTCGAGATGTCGGCCTTTGGTGTCGCTTTCAGACAACTTAAATCCTTTTCAACGATATCGAGGGGGAAAGCATAAGCTGTGTATGTGGGGCGGGAATGGCCAAATCTAGGTGGGCTGGCACCCCGTCATACGCAAAGACCACCGATTTATCGGGATCCATTATTTCCTCGCCCGTGCCAGAAAAAAAACCGACACAGTATTCATTACTCTAGCAGATGCCGACGAAAACATTAATAGGTGATATTGCCATGGTCATAGTCAAGTTTCGTCCTCTTTGGCCGCACACTTAGCGGTACGCCCTCCACTCCCTGTCGCGCCCCACCATGACTTCTGGCCGTCTAAGGAAAATGTATACCCGCAGCCGTCGACGAACAAGCAGTGGCGAAGTACGGCGTGATTCTTTAAACAAATTCAGGCCAATTTTGGGGGGAATTTCTATTGTTTAATTGAAAATCGTTTTTTGCATATTAAATGTAAAGAACACTCAATTGATTGTACAAGCGCATTAATGTTTGTCTTATCCATCCTAAGGTTGTCCAGGAATGCTATTGAATTGTAAACAGTGTCATAAAAATATTAATGAATAGTGCTTGCACTTTAATGTATGTCAGTTGTCCCTATTGACTGTCAAGATGGTGTTAATGACTTTGATGTTGGCGTTAATGAAAGTATATTTTTCTCTTTTGTATGCCCAATGACCCATATGAATGCCCAAAAGTGTTATTGAATGTTGATTAAAATGCAAAAATCGTTATTGAATCTGATTTATGCGCAAATGTTCGCTTTTTCGCGCTAATGAATGTATCTTCGCGCTATTGGTCGCGGTTTTACGCAAATGATTGCGTATTTTCTAGTAATGAACAGCAAAAGGTGTAATTAGTCGCAGTTGTTTTCGTTTCACACCTGCCGCACCCACTATTGTGCATTCTGTTTTACATGGATGTCCTGATTGGCCAGTTATTAGTACTTATACTCTCCACTGTCTCTTGAGTACCATTCACGCTCGCAGTTCCAGACAGTTAATTCATCTTTCTGGTTTGTGTTTTCCTATTCGTGTGATGCCCAACGACCAAAAACAGAGCGAAGGTTCGTCCGGGCCGGCTGAAGTAAGCCAAACGTCTTCAGGTGATAGTGGAGGCAACTCAGCAGTCGTTGATCAAGTCTTTTCCATGTTTAAGGATTTTCTTGAGAAAAAATTAGAAGATAAAGGGAAGCAAATCGAACAAAGGAGTAAGCTAGCACAGCTAAAGTTCAAAGGGAACCAGAAACAATTTGAGCTTAATGCCGAATTAAATGCCATTTTTGAAAGCATTGAAATTGAAAGTGAAAGCATCGAGCCCCATTTTTTCGCAAACCAAGACGTTTCCCAAGAAGGCAAGCAACGTATTCGAAAGCGACAGAAGCTGATAAAAATCGCTGATAAAAGTAGGAACGGCTGGCAGGTTGTAGCCAAGTACGAGTCGGACGAACTTGCATCCGGCTCCGAAGATGAAAAGCGTCTTAAGAAGGCAAGAGAAGCGGAGAGCCGCAAGAGACGTCAAAAGGAACCTAAATACCTTAACACCTTATATCTATATTTTCCTCTAAACACGCTTATATACTTAAATAAACGACGTTTTTCTTTATTTCTTAAAATGCCGCCTAGTATTTAAATTGCCCGTGGGGGAAATCTCTATTCCTCATAAGCTCGGCTTCTCGGAGATTTCCCCGCCACAGTCACTCCTCCCAAGTAATGTACAAATTTTAAATTTAATGTTTATTAACTTATTTATTATCATTTTTATTCTGCTTGTAATTCATTCTGTGTGGCAAAATAATAAATAAAATAAAATAAAAGGAACAACTCTCCAGTGATCGTGGAAAGAAACTAAGAACTGCTTTGGGCGCTGATAATCAGCTTTTTCGTAGTAAGAAAAAGAGCCTCCTCTTTACTTTGTATATTCATATGTGTTTTGGATCCACTTGCGCATCCTACCATATTTCTCGTGTGATTTGTTTGTATTACGGGAATCTAAGGGTAAAATGATTTACATTCGTTTGAGCGAAGCGAATTAAAACGTAAAAGTATTTTCTGCTGTTATTCCAAGTAATCAGTCGCCAAGTAATTAGTCGCAGTTGTTTTCGTTTCACACCTGCCGCACCCACTATTGTGCATTCCGTTTTACATGGGTGTCCTGATTGGCCAGTTATTAGTACTTATACTCTCCGCTGTCTCTTGAGTACCATTCACGCTCGCAGTTCCATACAGTTTATTCATCTTTCTGGTTTACGCCCCTCCTCCGGTTTACTACAGGTTTCGTCATTGCTTTTATCTTTCAGGCCGTAGAGACGCTTCTGGCGACTTCTTTCGTTGTTTCAAATGCAGCAAATTTGGACACTGGACCGAGGACTGTAGATCCATGTTCTGGCCGGGAAGCTACCAGTCCCTTAGTTACAAGAGGGTGTGAATGGGGTTAACCGACTAGCGACAAAGGGCGAAAAATATTACTGACTACCGACAGGAAAAATATTAACCGACTACCGACATGGGCTGATATTATCAATATTTTTTCCAGAAAACAGGGTTGGACACTTAATTTTGAGAGCACTCGCCATTCGGGCGAGTAACCCTCAAAATGCACTCGCCCGGATAAGTTTTCACTCGCCCAAAAGTTAGTTCGCCGTTAGCTCGAGGAAGTAAGCAACCTCTTTAAATTTATGACTCATCAGATGGCCTAAGGGAAAGAATTTCCTTTTTTTGTTGTTGATACAGGTACATTGCTACAGCCAATATCAAAATCACAAAGTCACACCTTAAAGATGCTACCGACTTTATAAATTTTATTGAAAAGTCAAAGGTGAAAAAACCGAACGTTTTTTTCTTAGATTAACCCTCAAAGAAAATGCTTTCCCGTTTAATGTAAAGAACTATCAGTACAAACCCACGTTACCGCGATGAGCAGAAAGACAGCAGTTTCCTTTCCAACATTTTCATGGCACATATTGAAACACAAAGTTTAAGCAAAACCGTCTTTAAACCAACAGTTTGAAAACGCTACATAAATGACATTTTTTCCCTATGGGACATAAGTAAACCAGACATCGTAGCTTTCTTCGCGGAACAAGTAAACTTACATGCCCTCTTATGAAATTCAAGGCCGAAAGATCTGAAAATGACACATTCCTTTTAGAAACGGTTGTATACCGAGGTACAACATTCAGCGAAAAAATGAGAAAAAGCTATCTTTGACGTAAAGACGCATTTGAAACGGAAACCTTACAGACGTTTACAGTATATACAATTTCACCTCATATCACCCACCAATTGTTAAAGCGCCTGTTTGACAAAGGAGAAGCCTTGAGAATCCTACGAACAAACTCCTCTGAGGAAGTATTTCAGATTTCAAAAGCGCTTGTTGGACAGAGGCTAGGCACCCAATTTTGAAAGAAAAATTGCTATTAGAAGTAAGACTCACAGAAAGGAAGGCAGCGCTCCTGAAAAAAAACAACCACGCAAGGCAATATTTCAGTCTTTTTCTTCCTGACACAATCCTAGCCCTTAGTGTCTATAAAAAAGAAGCTTTAATGAAGAAGTGGAATCTCATACAAAACCAGCCACTACCTTGCCAAAATTTTAAAGAACCACCTAAAGTGCTATTTCTTTGAGGAACGAAAATTATGGCAAAGGACATGCTTGTTAGAACCAAAACATGAGAGGGATAGATGTGCAGCCTGTCATCCCTTGCAGTTTTTCAATGAAAATAATTTAAGTCACCAAAAGGCTAGAGTCCAGTAAGTAATGAAATAATTACTTTTTACTGTGCCCTGTAGTCGACATGGGGAAACCAAGTTCGCATTTACAATAAAAGCTTGGGTGATTTTATCAGTACTAATTATTCATTTAATGGCAAACAATGATGAAGTAAACGTTCATGTTGCATAAAAAACAAGAGTTAATGAACGGTTTAGGCGCAATCAAATGATGCATTCTTGCAAGTTTTACTCTTTCCTTAGGGATCAAAGTCTTGAAAAGTGGGTGAAATACATAAAAAATATAAATAATTAACAAGCGTTTTTACTTATTAACTGAGATTTTCCGACAACCGGCGAAAATCGAAAAGTTTAACCGACTACCGACAAAGATCGAAAATTTTAACCGACTACCGACAAAATTACTGAATTTTAACCGACAACCGACAAGTGGACCCCCCCATTCAGACCCTCTTACAATACTTGCCGTGGAATCTCCTACAACAAGCCAACTGCAGGCCAATCAACTCAACCAAAGCAATGAAGATGACTTGGCGCAGGTAGATCAAATTACACAGAATTACGAACTTGAAAGCGGACATTCATTTAGTGTTAAGGGTAATTTAAAGAATAATTTAGGTTTCTGGAGATCTATAGGTGGTCCGGATTTTATTTGTCTATTATTGAAAACGGCTACAGCCTGCCGTTCATCAGTTTTCCGTTGGCTGTAAAGCTAAGAAATAATAAGTCAGCTCGACTTCATGTTGATTTTGTGGACCAAGCTGTTCTTGAGCTTGTTAACTATGGTCGGGTGCGTATGGTTAATGAGCAGCCTTTTGTTGTAAATCCCTTGTCAGTTTCTATACAGCCATGCGGTAAGAAGAGGTTAGTTCTTGATTTGCCCCATGTCAATAAGTCATTAATTAAGCAAAGTGTTAAGTACGAGGACTGGAAAATTGCTATGTTTTATTTTGCGAAAGACGCGTACATGGTTTCCTTTGATTTGAAAAGCGGTTATCACCATATCGACATTGCGCAAGAGCACCAAACTGTTCTGGGGTTTTCGTGGCGGGCGCCTGATTCCATTAATGAAGTATTTTTTTTGTTTTCACTGTGCTCCTGTTAATAATAATAATAATAATAATAATAATAATAATAATAACAATAATAATAATAATAATAATAATAATAATAAATTAATTTTTTTTATATACAAAAATAAAATCTTTATTACAAAACCTCAATTAAAATCCTATTTACAATCAACCTGCTATTACAAAAGATCTAATTAATTCATCAAAACACTATCTACAATTCCTTCATTAGAGATCAAAAACAATCCTATATGTAATAAGTGAAGAAAGAAAAAAAAAACTATTCATTTACAAATTCTAAAAAATAGAAGTAACTTAACCTTACATAAAAGAAGAGGAAATAGATATAATCAATAATAATAATAATAATAATAATAATAATAATAATAATAATAATAATCAGAACCCGGACCCGACTGTGGAAGCAGTTAGAGAATTTGAAGATCACGCCATGGCATCAGGCCACCAGTCGCTCGTAAAGGAAGCAGCTTAGTACGCTGAAGAACTCAACATCACCCTTCAGCTTGATACCCTAAATCCCGTGTGTGTTACAACAGATGGAAAGGTGGTAACTGCAGCAAGAGCTGGGAATCTGTTGAAGCAATCTCAAGAGAAGCAGTTCTTGGAGATCGCTAAAGACAAAAAGTGGCAAGGAAAGTTATTCCGTATCAGATGGGAAGATGAGAGCCTAAGCATAGCCAGCTGCTTTGCATGGTTAAAAGGTTGGGCTACATGCCCTACACATACCATCGCGGGCATGTATGAACTGTATGAGCAGTTGTTACCTACGAAGCTCTACACAAAGGAGAAGACGCAAACCTCCACCGACGGCGAAGTTCTATGCAGGTTATGTGGGAAGGTAGCTGAGAGCGTTGCACCTGTACTGGCTGGATGTTCCTCCCTGGCGCAAACCAAGTACCTATACAGGCATAATGCAGGTTTGAAGATTCTGTTTTTTGAGCTCCTGCTAGAGCATGGGTTAATGGAAGAGGTTCCACCATGGTACTCCCCGGTGATGCCAAAACCAGCCTACCAGAACACCACGAGTGAGGCGTTTTGGGATATTCCCATCTATGCAGAGCACAACGAAGTTAGAGCAAATCGGATCGACGCGCGACTTGTCAACCACGAGAGGAAAGAAGTCTGCACAATTGAAATGAGCTGCCCATGGATTGACAGTAGAGCTAAGAAAGATGAGGAAAAGACACTCAAGTATGGGCCCATGATGTGGGAGCTGAAGCAGAGATACAATGGTTACAGGGTTGAACAGTACAACGTAATAATTGACGTACTGGGGGGTTACTCTAAACACCTAGAGAAGTCGGTGAGGAAGCTACTTGGAGCGAGAGCACGGAGCGTACTTGAGCGAATGCAGAAGTCGGTCATCTCAAACACTTTAAACATTGCCAGAACATTTAAGATAAATACTTAGATAGGGCGCTATAGACTTCAGTTTTTAGGTTTTTGTTTTTTCTCTAGAAATCTAGAAACACAAGCTTGCTGACGTTTTTACTTAGATTTTTTAGAACATTAGAGTGTGATATTATTATAAATATGTTTTTAGTAGAGATAGCGAAGGTTTTACAGAGTATCAGAATTTAATAATATTCTAAATTGTTTTTTTAGTAAAGAGATTTATATCACTATGTATAAGCTTTTAGTAGAGATAGCGAAGGTTTTACAGAGTATCAGAATTTAATAATATTCTAAATTGGCTTTTTAAGTAGAGAGATTCATATCACTATATATTTTAGGATTGTATTAGGTTTCGTATCGACCTTTTTTTACTTCTAAGTATAGCTTCTCAAGTGGTGTAGGTTACGCTATGCGCCCTATACTACTCATAATGTGGACAGCATTCCAAAGTTTCATACTGCGACATAATAATAACTTTAATAGTAACATCTTCGTGAGGTTTTTCAGGAACTATTTACAAACGATTTACAATTTATAAAAGCAAAAATGACAATAAAAACTCGAAATCACAATTTATGGTGGTATTCTACCAAATTCTAGAGCTTATGAAGGAAATGTCTGCCTCAATAGTGTGTCTTTCAGGGCGCGCTTGAAAGATGCCAATGAGGCACTTTGCCTGAGTTTATTATGCAAGTTATTCCATGTGTAGGCCCCTCTGTAGGAAAATGTGCGCTGGCCTATAGCCGTTCTGTATAGCGGAATCTGCAAAGAGTTCCGTGTACGAGTGTTACGAGTATGTATATTTGAGCGCTTGGTAAACTTGCTCGTTAAGTATTGAGGCGCAAGATCGTTCTGACATTTAAAGGTCAAAACGGAGTCTCTATAGAATAATTGTTCTTTAACAGGAAGCCAGTTTAGCTCTCGAAGCAAAGGTGTTACGTGGTCAAACTTCCTAGAGTTTGTTACGATCTTGCTGGCAAAATTCTGAATAGATTGTAATCTGTTTATATTCTGGAGTGTGGTATTTGACCATACAGATGAGCAGTAAAGCATCTTACTAAAGACTAATGACGTTATAAACAACTCTAGTGTTTCCTTGTTGAAGCTCCTTTTGACTCTATTTATTTGGCAAAGCTTTGCGAAACAGGATGACACTACACATGAAATATGGTGATCGTAGGTCAGATGGGGGTCAAGAAAGACTCCCAAGTCCTTGGCAGAGTCTGTTGGCTTCAGTGTTTTACCTACGAATACCACTCTAGGGTCTTCTGGTAACCTGCTTAACATCTGTCTGGTACCGAGGAAAAGGAATTTAGTTTTATCGGGATTGATAAGTAGATGGTTCTCACAGCACCATTGAGCTACACTGTGAAGGTCTTGTTCGAGCTTTTCAATGGCAGCATCAAGCTCAACGAGAGGAAATGACATGAATAGCTTTGAGTCATCCACATACGATTCTAGGTTGCAAAACGTCGGTACCGTGGGTAAATCGTTGAGATAAATGCAGAACAAAAATGGTGATAGGATTGCGCCTTGAGGAACTCCGAGAGTTATAGGTAGAGTGTCAGAGTAGGCGGAGCCAACTCTCATGTATTGCCTGCGACCAGTTAAATAGCTCTTGAACCATTTGACAGTAGAGCGTGAGGCTCCTAAGATGGAGAGTTTGTGGAGCAACCTTGCATGGTCTATACTGTCGACGGCTTTGGATAGATGTAATAGTACTAGTGCTGTTATCTGCTTTTTATCCATTGCTTCGAGTATCTTATCCGTGAGCAGGATGTTTAAGGTCTCTGTAGAGTGAGCTTTTTTATTGCCGCTTTGGTGTGAGGTAAGGCGGTTGTTTTTTGTGAGATAGGCGCTGAACTGATTCAAAACAATCCTTTCGAGGACCTTTGAAGCTACGGCTAGTAGAGATAACGGTCTGTTGTTTGCAGCTTTTTCATGGTCACCGTCTTTAAGAATCGGAATCACCTCAGCCTCTTTCCAGTTGTCAGGAAATGTGCTAGTAAGGATAGAACAATTGATGATGTCAGTAAGAGGGCCCGATATAACAGGGAGACAGTCTTTTAGTACGCGAGCGCTGATCTTGTCCGGTCCCGGAGATTTATTCATTGGGAGAGATGTTACAATTCGGCGAACCTCTTCACGTGACACTGTCCTTAAATGAAATAATTCCATAAAGGTAGTATCTATGCCAGTTTCGGATGAAAAATCTCGGACTATGATGTTATGTTCTTCCCTCAGGCGCTGTACTGCGTCAGCGGCATTTAAGCCTCCTTTAGCAAAAAACTGATTGAATTCGTTGGTTAAGACTGTCACATCCTTTGTAAAGGCTGGTCTCTGCTTATCTTTGGAGGGGATGGCGCGATTAATAATTTTCCAGAGTGAGCCAGAGTTGTTTTTATTAGGTGTGACCTCTTCAAAGGTGTGATCTCTTTCAGCTTCTTGTAGCTTTTTCTTGACCAAGTCACGGGAATGTTTGAAATTTATCCACTCCGTGTCTTGGCGAGACTGTATGAATTGCTTCAGGAGGAGATCTCGCGATCTCATGAGATCCTTGATTTCCTGGTTCACAAAAGGGCACGGTTTACTCCGAAGTTTAATTTGTTTCACGGGAGCGTGTAAGCTCAGGACAGACTGCTCGGCAGGACAGACTGTTCGGTCTTTTCTCTGCCCTTCATGTTTTCACAAAGGTTTTGAAGCCTTTAGAAAAGTATTGGAGAATACAGGGTCTTTGTATAGCCATCTTCTTGGACGATGGTCGGGCAATTGTTCAGGATAGGGAAAGTTGTCGCATTAAGGCCCTAGCTGTAAGGAGGGATTTGTATAACGCTGGTTTTGTTGTCAACGAAGACAAATTGGTATGGGAACCCACCCAAGTATTGGACTGGTTGGGAATAACCTGGAATTCTGCACTGGGTACTTTAAAAATTGTAGAAAGAAGAATTGTTAAGACCATCAATACAATTGATCATATTATTGAAGCCGATTGAAAATATGGCTAATATCAACACTAGGTATTGCTTTGTGAGTAAGGATCCTAGTTGTTTTGTATATTCGGATGCCAGTGCTACCGGAGGTGGAACAATTATTGACTTTAACTATGATTTTTTGTGCCACAAAATGTGGTCGGAGAACGAGAGAGTTCAAAGTTCAACGTGGAGGGAGTTGTCTGTTGTTGAGTTTTCATTGCAATCATTTGCCTCAGTGTTGGAAGGATCACACGTTAAGTGGTTTACTGATAGCCAAGTAGCTGCTAAGATTGTTGAAGTGGGCAGCATGAAATTAGGTTTGCATAAGATGGCCCGGAGGATTTTTGATATTTGTATTCGATCGGCGATTCATTTAGAAGTGCAATGGATCCCTCGCACTTTGCATCAGCAAGCGGATTATATAAGTCGTTTAATTGATACTGATGATTGGCAAATTACTGAAGAATTTTCTCTTTTTCTTGATGGCCGGTGGGGCCCGCATAGTTGATTGTTTTGCTAATTATTATAATCACAAGCTTCCCAAATATTTTTCGAGGTTTTGGAACCCCAATACCTCGGGTGTTGATTTTTTCTTTTAGTCTCTTCGAGGAGAAAATTGCCTAGTAGTCCCTCCAGTTGGTATCGTCCCACGCGTTTTGCATTATCTGAAATCTCAGCAGGCCGTTGGTACGCTCGCTGTACCTCTTTGG